CTCAACAACAACAAGATTTTCAAAAAATGATGTAGTATATGAAACACTTAACATTGCAATGGGTCAACAACCCACAAGGGTCAATGTAGCATTAATACAAATTTTTATAACCCGCTCTTTGCAAAATGCTCTAGGTATGCAGTGGATGTCTCCACAAGAATTTGATGTCTTACTTCAATGGTCTAGGGACAATCCAAATTTTTAGGGAGGGAGTGAAGGTGCAGCTAAAGACAAGAGGAGGAGGAGGAAACATCAAACGAAGAAGATTAAAGAAAATAAGGGAGGAAATAAATTTTCTTTTAATGTTTTTAATTTTTTTATTTCTTGTTATTTGTTCTTGCTTTTTATTAATGTTGTGTTTGTAATTTGATACTCTTAATTGATTTGTGTGAATTTGAATGATTTAAAAAAAAAACCTTGTTGTCCCACATTTTGTTGATCATTGCTTATTGTCTAATTCAAATCTAGAACTTAAGGAGGAAAATTAAAATGTTTTTTTATTGTTTCCAATAACAAGTGGGTTTAGGGCGAGTGGGTATGATAGTGAAAAGGAATTGATGACGAGAATTAGGAATTAACTAAATTGGAGAAGTTAGCTAAAATTCGAGTGAGTAAAGTACCACAAAGCGATTCAAATTGAGTGTCAACACTTTATGATGATAGTTGTTATTGATTGATTTTTTGATGTGATTACATGTGAGCAAGACTTGAAAATGATAAAGATAATTTTTTGTTGAAAGTAGAAATAACCTAGAGCCAAGTAGTCATCCCTACATTAATTATAGGAAATCCTTTTGAACCCCTTTTGAGCAAAAAACAAAGTTGTTTATTGAAAACGAATCCCTAAACCTAAACAATGTTTATCCAACCTTCTTATATTTGAGAAATTGAAAATTATGAATGAATTCTTGATGTTCCTGATAATCTATGTTTTTGTTCATTTGTTATTTCAAAAAAAAAAAAAAAGAAAAGAAAAGAAGGTCAAAGGGAAAGAAAAACATAAATATAGTAGTTGAGAATGAAATGATAAATGCAAGATGAGGAAAGAAAAGGAAATTCAAACTGGTGTGAATGATGAATTGTGAAATTAGATTAACAGTCCACCATCACTATGTTGGACCAAAAGCATAAAGTTGAGTCCCGACTTGAAGAAATATTAGACAAGAATCATTTATATATTTTAAATTTCTCAAATACTTTTGTATATCACGGAAAAACCAATGAATTCCTTGATAGCCCAACCTCATTACAAGACTCAAAAGACCTTTTGATTTAAGTTCTTGCTTAACAATTGTTGATTACTTGAAGATGACTATCAATAGTGGATTATCTAAATGAAGTGATTGAAAGAGATAAACACTTACTTGTGAGAGATAAAGATTTGTTATTATAATTGAGAGAGGATGCTTCTCCGAGGATAGTTGATGATTAATTTTCTTTGTTAGTTTATGTAACCGTCATGCACATTTATCTTATTTTCACTTGAAGTTGTGAACATCATATCTCGGAAGGAAAATTATTTTTGTGTCAAGAGTTATGGAAGAGATGAGGACAAATAGGCAATGAAATTTTTCTTTTGGAAGAATTAATACTTTGCTTAGGGACAAACAAGATTCTAGGTTGGGAGGAGTTGTTAAGTGGTAAAAGTTGATATAATTAGGCTTTTAATTGTTATGAAATCACTTAACTTATGTCAATTATAATCTATTTTTCTTCCAATGTAGGATGAATTCGAGAATACCTTGATACAAGAACAATGAGCATAATTGTCAACATAATTGAAGCAAAAACCGAAAGGAGGAAGAAGAATTTCAACATGGAAGTCGCTCGAGCGAGATAGATTCTCGCTTGAGCGAAAATTAGTTAAAACTCTCTGGAGTTCATTCGCTCAAGCACCATTATTTTCGCTTGAGTGAAAATTAATTAAACTTCTCTGGAACTTACTCGCTCAGCGAGCACTTTTTCGCTTGAGCGAAAATACTGAACTTTCGCTTAAGCGAATGTTTTCATTTGAGCGAAAGACGTGAGACGAAAATTCTCCTATAAAAATATAAGACGTGTTTTGAGAAAGGAAGAAGTTTTGGGAGAAAGAGTTGCGACTCACTACTAGGGTTTCGTCCATGCCTTCATCAATTCTTCACTTCTTCCTCATTTAGAGCATTGTAATGGTCACCATGAGTGCAAATTGCTAGCCTAAGTAAAAAGAGCTTACGTGGGAGGATTTCGATTAAAGACCAAAATACCCTTAGAATCGAAATCGATCGAAATTCCACCAGAAACAATTCGCAAGAGGGGTCATTGTAGAACTGAACGAAGATGTGGTCGAAAAGTTTGGTTGCTATGGCTTTCCCAAGATTGTGAACTGGGATTTGACACCGAGGGGCAGCAACCAAGTGAAAGTATCGGCCTTTGGTGCGTCGGAAAAAGTCGAGTTCTTTGACAAGGTCATCCCAGTGATCCTCTGTGGCTCTGATGTGGAACTCTATGCCGTCCAACTCCACCCTTCCGATTGGACCAAATCGGCCACTGAGAAACCTGGTGTAGAGGTAGTTGGCGAAGCGCTTTGCATCCTCGGTGGAGTTGAGGGAGTACTCGTAAAACGTGATGGGTCCTCCGATGGAGAGGAACACTTTGACGCCTTTGGCCTGGGAATCAATGGAGAAACACAGCTTTAGCTAAATATGTGCGATTAAAGCTAAGATTTGTGTGGTCTGGTTCTACCTGGCAGTGTTTTATCTGGGACGCTACCACACCGTCGTCGTGGCCGATGAAGTCCCAAAACGGGTTTCTGCCATCGCCGAATTGGCGTAGGTAAGCTAATAGCACAACCGCATAATTTCCAGTGTCGCACGTTGTGTTCAACTTGCCTTCGCGAATGTCTTGGCCCCAGTAAACACCAATCCCACCATTGTCAAGGCTTGAGGAGGTGGAGAATGAGAAGAGGGATGAGAGACATATGTCAAAACCTATCCTCTTGCATTCCATCATGATTATGGGAGTGTTTTCGATTTCCTGTTCAAGCTTATGAGTGCAAGAGAAAGAGAACCAATACTTGTAGGGTTTGATGAAGCACGTCCAATCAAACAACTTCTTTATTATTACACTTTTTTAGAACTAAAAAAGTATTTATAAAGAAAAAGAGAGGAATTATATATTTTAAGCGAACATTTTTGGTTGAGTAAAAGAAAAGGCCCAAATTCCCATTTTTTTTAAAAAGGAGGAGGTTTTGGGAGAGGTGCAACTACTACTAGAATTTTGTCCAATCTTCATAAATTCTTCGATTCTTCCTCATTTGGAGCATTGTAATAGCCACCATGAGTGGCTAACTTCATTCTCTTGGGATTGGGTGCACTTCCTTTGAACTCTTTTGTATCTTGATGATATTTTGAGATATTAATTTATGTTTTTCATGTTGTTATTCTTATCATTTATGTTTTTGAATGTTTATTCTTGATGTTTGAGATATGATTGAAAAATATATCTTGAACCCTAGATCATGGTAAGAATATTTGTTACGTTAATTGTCAGAAATGGAATGAATGTATCAATTGCTTAACAACCTAAACCTAATGCTGAAAAATCTCTTAATTGTGTGTGAAATCAACATTTATTAGGTTTTCTTATGAATTTCATGTGTGAGGAATCAACATGGATAATTTGAGTAGGTGGCATTAACATTGTTAGGTTAATTGATGTTCTTAATTGGACATAGTCATTGCAAAACAGGAAAAAGGAAGGAAGTTAATCATAAGTGCCTTTAATTGATCTTTTCTAAACAATTTACCATTTTTTGTCATTTAATTTCAATTCAACTCTTTATACAAAACTCATTTTGTTTTGATCCACTTAGTAAGCATATAATTGGGAATTTCCATTGACACCGTTTCTCGTGGGATCGACTTTTATTTAATCGAAATACTATACTACGATTGATAATTTTGGTACATTTGTCAATAATTCAACAAACATATATGATTAACTATCAATGACGAGTTTTCTTTATATGCAACGTATATGGTTACCTCCTTCAGATTATATGGTTAACTGTGATGGACATTTAGTCATGTTTTACTACTGGATTAACCATATATGTGCTGATCACCTCAAGTTTATTTGTTTAACTGAACGTGGTAGTTTCATATATGCAAATGCTAATTTTATTGAGTCCAACATATATGATTAACTGTCAATAACTAGTTTTCTTTATATACAATGTATATGGTTACTTCCTTCAGATTATATGGTTAACTGTGATGGACATTTAGTCATGTTTTACTACTGGATTAACCATATATGTGCTGACCACCTCAAGTTTATCTATTTAATTGAACATGACAGTTTCATGTATGCACATGCTAATTTTATTGAGTCCAACATATATGATTAACTATTAATGACTAGTTTTCTTTATATGCAACGTTTATGGTTACCTCCTTCAGATTATGTGGTTAACTGTGATAGACATTTAGTCATGTTTTACTCTTGGCTTAACCATATATGTGGTAACTACCTCAACTTTATGTGCTTAACTGAACAGGACATTTTGTGTTAATCATATGCTAAGTTTATATAACCCACATTATATGCTTAACTGTAAATGACATATGCTTAACCTCTTTACTATATATCATTAGCTACACATAAAGATACATGGTCAGTCGAACAACACATTGGAGGAAGATATAATGTTATCACTATGAGATAACGAGTAATGTACAATATCACATTATCACAGACCACAAAACTTACATGATAAAGGTGTAAAATGAAAATATCAAATATAAATTAATATGTTTCTTAGGACAAAAGAAGAAAACCTAACAAAATAATTCATCTACACAACACTTATGTGGCATTTTTTTCTTTTCCTTGAATTAGTCGTCCATGGTGTTTTGACCATAAAACTTTTATACTGTATTCTTGGATGAGCTTTAAGTCGAGTATACATATTTGATCCTTCATAATGCAACTTTGATTCTTCTGTTACTTCAGTATGATGTTTCATCTCCTTAATACTTCTACCTTCATATATAGGAGAAAAGTACATCCCAGATGATGGAGGATTTACCTCTTCTGTTGATAGTTTTGCTTCATCTAACAATTCCTATAATTGTATTACATCATCCTCTAGTTTTTCAATTGTTAATTCTTGTTGTTTGGTTAGGACATTCAATAATTGATTCTCAACAATAATTTCACACAACATATCAGTACAATTTTTCAATTCTTCATCATATGCATGAGTGGTATGTGCTAATGCTTCTTTCATTATATTATGAGTAAGTTCTTCATTGCTGACGCACAAGTCATGAATAACCTATGAATAAAAAACAATATCAAATTGAAATCACATTTTCACATATGGTAAAGTAATCTTGTAAACAAGTTATACTAAATTTTTAATAAACTAACCATATTATGATTAAATATACCTGTTTCAAATACTTTATCACGTTGTAAATATACCTAAAAATCACAATAAATACATTAATTTCAAACTGCAGATACATATAACCCTATTTAGTTTAACTTCATAGTATATAATTTATTTACTATGATGACATTTACTACAAATCCAGCACATGCATGTAACTCTTTCATGACAACAATTTCAGTATCATCTAACAATCAATATCATAAAAGTTATGTTAAAGCATATACTCTTTTTCATTATTAAGGATCAATAACATGTAATAAGAAAAAGTCATATATCAACCCCAATATCCAATATGAAAATTTACTAATTAAAATCATAAACATTCAAAATGTCTCTTCCTAACCGACAATAGAAATACAAATTCAATGATCTAGTTCTAACTAACTACATGTTGTCATCAAACATTAACTAGTAAATTCATTAATTCATCTTCAACAATAAGTATTATGTAATCTTACAATTTCAATAATGAACAAAAACTAAACTAAACCCTAAATCAACAATACACTAACCCTAATCCTAAACCTACATAGACAAAAACTAAACATAATCCTCCATTGATAAAATCTACACTTAATATGTAATCGACAAAAAACTAAACCCAGCAATTGATAAAACCTAAACCATGACCACAACACCACACAAACCTCTACAGCACTTAAGGCAGCTACATCGGCGGCAAGGAAAGGGAAGACAACCCAAGCGGGAAGTAATAAAACACTAAGTTGGAAGCGAGAAGCAATAAAATCCAAAAGCAAAATGCATCATCTATTTGTAACAAACATCATCAAAATTGTCATCTATCTATCCAAGTAAAGCAGGGAGCAATAGAACACCAAGCGGGAAGAAGTGATTAGTAGCGAAAGTGATGGCAAGCTTGAAGGGGCAACAACCCAAATACAATCTAAAAGTAATACAAGCTACACTAGCAACAAAAATCGTGATTGTGTGATTGAGAGTGATAAAAGGTAAGGATGAGGATGAAGATAAGAGTGAATGAGCACGAAACTAATGAGAGTTAGAGCAAGGAGTGCAGTAAGAGAACGAGAGTGAAGATTGAGTGTTGGTGAAGAGTAAATTATTTTACAATTTATTAATTTTTTATTAAGTTGTGGAATGGATATTTAAAATAGAATGTCAAAATATCATGACGCTTTATAGTCCTTTCGTGCAGTCTTCAAAAATTCATGGAATTTATTTACTAAAAATTAAAAGATGCAATGTAAATTTACGTTATTATTCGACCTAATTTTAGGTTTACTATGGCATACGTTAATATTAAAATTTAGTAAAATATAAAAAACTCAAGATAAAAAAGCGTGTTATATTCTACTAGATCTTAAATTTAGCCTAATACCATCAAGATCCATATTTCGTTTTATCACTGTACCTATATAATGTGTTGGATGTTACTGCATCCTAAAATCATAGAACCTTAATTGTATTTACCGTTTAGGTTAATATTTATTACTTTTTACACAAATTTCTTAAAGTACATTTTCTTGAAATGAACTTAAACTTGTTCGTTGAAGATTCAGACAAACGTAACCAAGTTTCTACCTGGTGCCAACTTAACCACCATTACCCAAAATAGGGAAAGACAGGACCCATTGTGTTCAAGAAGAAAGAGGATTTGGGCACATTGGGCAGTATCTCGCCGCTGAAATTCCTTATAATATCACGATATCTGTTGTACAGAATCACCCCTCCATAGTTGGTGGCTTTCTTCACATGCGGAAGCACCTCAAGATTCACCACATCCGGTTCCACGAAACCACTTTCTTCTTCACTTGAGTCCGCTGGCAGGGCCAGGAACAGCGAGTTATTAGACGCGACCAAGTTGACCCAGTTGTCCCACGAGTCCAACAAGGGCTTGGTGCCGTCCTCAATGTTGTATTCACAAGAGGGGTCGTTGTAGAACTGAACGAAGATGTGGTCGAAAAGTTTGGTTGCGATGGCTTTCCCAAGATTGTGAACTGGGATTTGACACCGAGGGGCAGCAACCAAGTGAAAGTATCGGCCTTTGGTGCGTCGGAAAAAGTCGAGTTCTTTGACAAGGTCATCCCAGTGATCCTCTGTGGCTCTGATGTGGAACTCTATGCCGTCCAACTCCACTCTTCCGATTGGACCAAATCGGCCACTGAGAAAGCTGGTGTAGAGGTAGTTGGCGAAGCGCTTTGCATCCTCGGTGGAGTTGAGGGAGTACTCGTAAAACGTGATGGGTCCTCCGATGGATAGGAACACTTTGACGCCTTTGGCCTGGGAATCAATGGAGAAACACAGCTTAGCTAAATATGTGCGATTAAAGCTAAGATTTGTGTGGTCTGGTTCTACCTGGCAGTGTTTTATCTGGGACGCTACCACACCGTCGTCGTGGCCGATGAAGTCCCAAAACGGGTTTCTGCCATCGCCGAATTGGCGGAGGTAAGCTAATAGCACAACCGCATAATTTCCAGTGTCGCACGTGGTGTTCAACTTGCCTTCGCGAATGTCTTGGCCCCAGTAAACGCCAATCCCAGCATTGTCAAGGCTTGAGGAGGTGGAGAATGAGAAGAGGGATGAGAGACATATGATAAAACCTATCCTCTTGCATTCCATCATGATTATGGGAGTGTTCTCGATTTCCTGTTCAAGCTTATGAGTGCAAGAGAAAGAGAACCAATATTTGTAGGGTTTGATGAAGCACGTCCAATCAAACAACTTGTTTATTATTACACTTTTTTAGAACTAAAAAAGTATTTATAAAGAAAAAGAGAGGAATTATATATCTTCAAATAGTGGAAGAAGGAAGATCTTACAAAAGTTACATTTTTATAATATATTTTGTAATAATATATGATTTAAATATTGAAATATTTGAGTAAAAGTACTACATGTTTTTGGTGTGAGTGTGATTTAGTGGCATGTTTTATGGTAGGGTTTTCCAGCCACTCGTTTTTTGATACTTATTATTATTGTTTGGATCTGTATAATATCTATTTACCATGCATATGTACAAAGTACGAGATAAGCATGGGATTTAAAAAAAAATTAAATGGGTGATATAAAGATATACAAATGGGACAAATTTTTATCCCAAAACGAGAGATGGAAATTGCTATCCTAGATTGCAACCCATAGCACCTTAAAATATGAGCAAATATGGAGAGACTAAGTAAAATACGTGAATCATATTATAATTATCTTTATTGCAATCCAGTAAATAAGCTCCACATCAACATCTCACACTCTACTATTACACTACAAGTGAACCAAAACATAACAACAAAAAAGAAGAAATGGTGAAAAATGTCTTGAATGATGTCGTGTAATATATTCTTCTCAAAGCTCAACGTGGAGCACTGTATCATTGTTGGATGATGTGACCATCTCTAAGAGATTTGAAGATGATTCCTCAGTCCTGAATAATCCATGTAAAATTCATTAGTATTTTTATCCTCTCTTTACTTCTTATCATATTTATACTATTTACAAGAATTAGTTCTCACATAAAAGTGACCCTCTTGCAAACTATAATTGAGAGATAGAGAAATAAAATAAATAAATAAACAGAAAATAATAAATTCAGTGTAATGAAAAAAAATGCACTACGACAAGACCTTTCTTGGTGAAGAGAAAAAAAGTAGAGTTTAGTCGAGTTCCTATGGTACGATTCAAATATAATTATTGATGGCAAAGTAAACATGAAAATGATATATATTTAATTAGGGATGTCAGCAATGACTTTGTCTAGCATTAGTCTTGTTCAAAGATGTTTTGCTTTGAAGATGTAGCTACTAATTATTTTGATAAGAAATAATTTTAACAAATTAAACAAAATAAAGTTAATAAAAAAAACTCCAACTGATATTTGAGTTATAATAGGGAACATACATTTGCACTTCAATATCTGAATGGCTTGACCCGTTCTTCTGTGTTTGATTTGGTGGTGGAGCGGGAGGAGTGTGAGGATCATCACTTTGAATCCTATATCAACAAAATTAATTAGAGAATATAATTAATTATATAACTCATCAAGAACCCCGCATAAAAAACAAGAATTAAATCATCGTAAAAAATCCTGATATAATAAATATTATGAGTTACTGGTAGCAACATACTTTTGTGTTTCGACATCAAAATCTTCTAACTCGTTCTGTGTTTGAGTTCCTGGTGAAGATGGGGATTTGTGAGGATCACTTGCAGTCCTTTATCAACCAAAAAAATCGGCACAATATCATTATACAAGTCCACATATATGGAGTAAATAATAAATGCTTGAACATGATAAGCTAAATAAGATTGATATTTGAGTGATTCGAACATACAACTGTATTTTTCCATTGAAATTGGTTGGCACTTGGTCATCAGTTTGAGTTGGTGGTGGAGAAGGATTATCCCTTTGAGCACTGCATCAACCAAAAGCAGTAAATACAATCTCATTATATAATCAATGAGAATTGCAAAATACAAAACAAATCGATGCTTTAGTGTACCTTGTCAGAGAAGTGGGAAAATGATGCAGCAACATCAAGAAAACAAGGATTGGAACAAACGCCATGTGTGATGTTCTTCGAGTCTGAGACTTGTCGAGAGCATATGATGTTGTGACGGCTGAAAATGTGAAGTGATATTTATAGAGATGATATAACAAGGTGTGTGTGTGAGGTTTTTGTCCTTTTGGATCTTATTTTGTTTGAAAATGAAGTGAGTTTACATTATCACTAACAACTTTCTTCCCATTCTACGTCATACACGACCACATCAAAAGTGGAATTGGTATGAATTCATACACAAACAGTGCATTCAAAATTATCCTCTTGTACATCAGGACTTCAAATACTACATAAATTAAAAATAATATTCGAATGAATATATAATATGAAATGAAGTTTAATCAATTTAGAAAGTAAAATAATAACAATGGTCGTTGCCGTGTAACCTTACGCGCTTAGTGAGTGTCGAGCAAAAGTGTAGTTTTAGTATTTTAACTGACAAACACGAGATTCCATCTCAGTTGTCGTTTTTTAAGTCCACAACAAATGGATTTGTTTGACTGAAAAATTTGTTACAGTTTGACATGTATGTTTAAGCATACTTTTCTCCTTCAAATAATTTAATGTGGGAAAATTGTGTTATACAAAATGAATTTAAAGAGAGTGTTGGTAAGCATATTCCTCTTCTAATTTATTTTGATTGCATAAGTTTACTGAGTCATGTTACATTTTTTTCTCATGTTTGAACTCGTGTAATTAGAGTTATTGACTATGGATGTGTTCATATATCAAACAACCTTCCATTACATCATCGCCTCAACTCCTATTTTGTGTTGTATATGTACCCAAATAATGTGAACAATTTCTTTTCATAGCTCGGGAGAAAATAGTTTCATGAGTGGGAACATAATCTTTGATATGCTCTTCTCCTAATCATGTTTTGGTGTGATACAAGGACTTAATATCACTTTAATTAGAGCTTCTGGATACAAAAGTTGTTGTATATTGATATTTTAAAAATTCTTTCTAAATACAAATTCATAAATATAAAACTTTTTTTTAGTTGATATCAAATTATTCATAGTCAGGATAAATATGCTGTAAAAATAATTTAAATTAATGTTTTAAAAATTAAATTAATTGATAAATTGATATAGATATAAAGTTGAGTTTAAAGGTTCCATCCGATCGAATTAAATTTAATAAAATAATATTTTATAATATAATAAATTTATTAATAATAATACATTTTTATAAAATAAAAATTATTATTATGATATAAATTATAAATATAAAGTATATTATAAAATATAAGATAAATAATAATTAAAATAAGATAAAAAAAATAAACTAATTATTATTTAAAATTGACAACACTAAGATAAAAAATTAAAAATTTTTATGTTTTTTATTAAAAAATTATATTTGAAAAAAATAATTTTTAATTTTCTTTTACCAAAATCAATTCAACTCAAAAATACACTCGATTCTTCAGTTTTGGGGAAATAATAAAATATGAAAAAAAATTAGTAGTTAAAGTTATGGTAAGAAATTTGAAACAAAATTTTAAACCTAAACTAAAAATAACAGTAAATATTATAACATTAAAAAATGTAGATTTGATCCATGAATGATTTTTATTAAAAATTTAATATTTATGACATATTTTAATTTAATATCAATTTGTAATAAGAAAAATATCTGACATACCTTAAAATTTAAATAAATAATTAGACTTTCTAAGACTCTAAAGAATTTTATTGAGTTAATTTTATTTATTTCATATATTTTATGTCCAGAACATTGATAGTAATAATATATTTAAAGATAAGGCTTAAAAAGTTGTCAATAATACTTAAACATCTTATTAACATAAATGATCTTACAATAAGATATTTTAGTGAATTCACGATCACGTAATTTTATCCAAACATTATTTAATAAGTAAATAAAGTATGTGTACTTATAAGCTCTGTTTTTCTTCTTTTACACTGAATGTCCTAAGTCTACATTGGGCTAGCCCTTCATGTGAGGAGCATTGCATCCAACTATCAAGTCCTTCACCACTTCTCTCATTGTTGGTCTCTCACCAGGATGCTTCTCAGTACATCTCAATGCCATCAAAAGCACTTGTTCAACTTGCTCCCTCAAATTTGATGCCAAAAGTTCCTCTTTAAGGCCTGAGTCAACAATCCCATCAATGCTTTTTGTTTTTTCCCAGATAGATGTAACCCACCCCACAAGTTCTGTTCCTTCCACAAGTGAAGGATCATCTACCACCTTCTTTCTGCTTATCAGCTCTAGCAAAACCACTCCATAACTATATACATCAGACTTCCTACTTATCACTGTTGAATAACCATTCTCTGATGCACACCAAAGTAAACATGTGTTATTTATTCCATACAATAATTCATATTTAAAAGAGAGAAACTGAAGTAAACATAATGAACCAAAAGACTAGAAGAATTACCTGGTGCAATGTACCCAACTGTACCAGTAACAGAGAAAGATTGCGATGAAGTGGAGGAGGAATGGTCTAGAAGCTTGGCAATGCCAAAATCAGCAATATGAGGCTCCATATCAGAATCCAAAAGTATATTCTTTGGTTTAATATCTCTGTGAACTACGAAAGGATCACAATCATGATGGAGATATTCAAGCCCGTGTGCAATTCCAACTGCAATCTTATAGCGGACACTCCACTCTAAAGGTGGTGGTGGATACTTCTCATGCAGAACATCATGAAGACTTCCATTTTCCATGTACTTGTACAGAATTAGACCACAGTCCTTTCTTAACCAGAAGTTTTTTATTCTTACCAGATTTCGGTGCCTAATCTTCCCAGTGGTTTCAATCTCTGTGGTCATGCTTGCGATCTGAGCTTTGTTATCTGCAAAAGGAATTTTCTTTATGACAAAAACTTGGTCTGCACTGAATTTAACTTTGTAAATAACTCCATGTGCACCTCTACCAATAATATGCTTATCATTTAGGTTCCCTGTGACCTTCATAACCTTCTTGAGGAAAGTAGATGATCTCTGTTCGGGGAAAGTCTTGACATTTTGCTTATAGTGTAGCACATAAACAAGACCAAGTAAAAGAAATGTTACAAGTACGGTGGATCCAAGTGCTACCAACAAAACTTTCCTTTTACTCGGCCCTTTTTTATGTGTGGAATTGTTCTCATCACATGGCTTCAAGCTTTTACTTTTGGAACAATTCGATGGTAAACATCTAACACATAAGCCAGGAACACCCAAGAATGATGATGGAGAAGAATGGAGCAAGTTCACTAGTTTGTCTGGAAGAGGACCAGAAAAGGAATTGTATGAAATATTGAGTGCAATCAATGAAGAGAGATCTTCAAAAACTTCGATTTTTCCAGTCAGATTGTTAAGAGAAATATCCAGGTTTAGAAGGAGTTTCAGTTTCCCAATCTCAGGAGGAATTTCACCAGTCAACTCATTAGCACTTAGATTCAACTCATAAAATAGATTGTGCAACTCACCAATTGATCTAGGAATTTGGCCTCCAAAAACATTTCCCCCAAGTTGTAGATCAGAAAGGCCTTCTAATTCTGATAAGAAAGTTGGGATACCACCAGAGAAATAATTTTCCCTTACATTTAATGCTGTCAACTCTGTCCAAGTTCTCAAACTTGATGGGAATGAGCCATTTAGAGAATTGAATCCGGCATCAAAGTATTGCATTTTCTTACAGTTTGACAGCTCAGGTGGCAAAGGACCTTCTAATTTGTTGTGAGAAATGTTCAGCCTTTGAAGGTTAACAAGGCTTCCTAGCTCAAAGGGTATGTTTCCAGAAAGATTGTTGTGAGACAGAATAACACTAGTAAGATTTGTACAGTTTCCCAAACTCGATGGAATTGTTCCATTGATATTGTTCTCACTGAAGTCCACGTAGGTGAGACTACTATTGCTTGTAAAATCAGGTAGAGGTCCACTTAAGTTGTTTCCATCAAGACGTAACCTGGTAAGTGATGTGCATCTTCCTATGTCAAGAGGTATACCACCTTGAAATTGATTTGAAGCCAGGATTAGCCTTTCTAATTGTCGTCCAAAGCAAAGATTCGGTGGGATGTTGCCAGTGAAGTAATTATTTGAGACATCCAACTGGACTAAACTGCTATTAATTCCTAAGTTTTGAGGAATAATTCCAGAGAATTGATTGTGATACAAGGTGAGTTTCTTCAGTTGTTTGAGTTCTGTCAATTTTAAAGGCAGCTCCCCAGAGAGGTTATTGTAATACACATGCAGCTCCTCAAGGCCAGGAATTTGCCAAATTCTCTCTGGAATTCCTCCAGTCAAATGGTTGAAATGAAGCCTAAGATCTTGCAATTGACTTAGCTTTCCTAATTCACTTGGAATCTCTCCCTCAAGTTCATTGTTATTTAACAGCAACTGTTTTAATGACCTACAATCACCTATTTCTGAAGGTATTTGTCCGGACAAATGATTGGTTTCAAGGCGAAGAACAGAAAGTTCTCTTAGTTGGCCCAAGGATGATGGGATGCTGCCTCCTAAACTTGTGTTGAAAGCATAAATTTCTCTTAATCCGCTGCAATTGCCCAGGGTTGAAGGTATGCCTCCACTAAACTTATTGACTGACAAATCCAAATAATATAAACTTTTACATATGCTAGAACCCAATAATGGAATGGCACCCTCAAATCTATTATTGCTGAAACCTAACTTAACAACATTTTGGAGATTGTTAAGACTTTCAGGTAGAACTCCATGCAACTGGTTATTATCCAAATAGAGCTGCACTAATTTAGTGCAGTTTCCAATTGACGGGGGAATCCTTCCTGACAACTGATTAGCATCCAGATACAGCCTCAAAATTTCTGTACTGTTCCCAACATTCGTTGGAATGGAACCAATCAAATGGTTTTGGTTCAGGAGAAGATGTTCCAAGTGTTGAAGTTGAAACAAAAAATCAGGAATTTGACCAGTTAGCTGATTGTACATAACGCTGAAATACAGTAAATTCTGCAAGTTTTTCAAACTTTCAGGTATGTGTCCCCTGATATTGTTATAAGCAAGGTCCAGGTTCTCAAGCAGACTACAATTTCCTAACTCAGGAGGTATTTTCCCTGAGAAGTTGTTTGAGGCCAAGTCAAGTGTTTGCAAGTGACTCAATTGTCCTATTTCAGGTCCCAAAAGACCTGAAATTGAGTATCCAGAGAGATTAAGAAAGATTGCATTATGGTTATTGTCACACTGGACTCCTACCCAAGAGCATGGAGTGGAATCAGAAGCATTCCAACTCAAGTTTATGGAAGGAGGCACAAATGTCCAATGCCTCTGGAGTGACAGAAGAGCCACCCCATGAGTGTTCAATGCATTAACAGCATACAACAAGGCAGATAAGCAAAGCATGAGCAAGTTGAGCCTCACCATAGTGTATAGTTAGCACACGCACACACAAGCAAGCTAAAGAGAATTTGATAATTCAAAAACAACAGTACTAAAGAGAAAATGTACCTATCTTCACCCTTTCTAATGAAAGTTTGAATGAAATGTGTAAAGAAATTGATGACTGGAATCTGAATGAAGGAGGATCGAGAGAGAATGGAAATGAGAAAGGGAACTAGTTAATGAAATAGTGCTGGGTGTCAAGGAACTAGTTAATGAAATAGTGCTGGGTGTCAAGGAACTACGCTGGTTCACACTACAATTATGTGAAACCATGATGTTCTTTCTCAAGTTATTACATAGATTTTTGGAAGTCCAAGTCTACTGAAAAAATAGTTTGTCATAGAATGCATAATTTAGACTTCAAATACGAAAATCTCTCCCAATTGCCAACCCACTTCTCATGGGAGAAGACATCTTTATCAATGACATATTCGATTTATGAAAAATACAAAGATCATGTAACCAGACAAGTTGTTATAGTAACCTAAATGTTAATTAATCTAAGTGGTTAAACCTGGGTCTAAGAAACATTCAAGTCAGCATTCCAAGTCTAACTTTTAAACATTAACTACTCCATCTGTGTACGTCAACACAATTAGAAAATTCAAATAAATAAGTCTTTTTTATGCTCAAGAATAAATAATAATGTAAAATTCTATTATGAATTATTCTTTGGCAAATCTTTTATTTTACTAATAAGAAAGAATTTAAAGCATAATTAATTTGGGAGTTTGATAGGAAACACTTGAAACTAGTATCAAAATTTCAGATGAAATGAAAAATACTTGTGTACTTGAATAAGATATTGAAATAATAAACTTTATTAATTCTAAATCTTTTAGTATAACCACAAATATTCTCTTTCATATGCAATCCTGTATGAAACAATAACATTTATAACAAGTAAAACTGTTTATCCGGTGCTTATAGTTTCTGTGATTGCAGAAAGTTGAGTACTTGTACATCATTAACTTAAAATTTGAAATTAAGCTTTGTTCTCATTGCTAATATTACCACTTTCTGACGATGAAAACAGCTACAAAATTAGTTTGACAGTGATAAATACAAACCAAATGAATACTTTCAACATTTTACAATAAAATGAAACTAATTCTCTAACAGGATTTTTTTTTAAATCCAAGACTTTAGTATAAGACACATACCATCTGAATCAACCAACAGTTCATAATAGTTTCAGTTGCATCAAAACTACAAAAAAAAATTATTATCTAAACAATTTATAACTCTGCTACTGATTTTCCTCCTGGTGGGAACATCTTGGCTAAAACTACTCTTGTTAATAAACATTTCAGAAGATGTAGTAATTCTTTGTCTCTTTTTTGAGCATGATGTAGAAATATGACCTTGAAATGAGCAATTTGGTAAGTGGGTGAAGCTAATTCTATTACAAATAAGTAATGGATAGAAAACTATGCCTCAATCTGTATTCTTGACTAAGTGCAGAAACTTTAGTTAGAATATATCTTCCTTGCTTCAATTTCCAACGCCTAATGTAAGGGACTACTGAATATTGGTGAACCAAAAAAAGTGTAAACCCTATTAATGAGGATTGAAACGAAAGGATTCCTCAGGGACATATTTAGTCCTCATATTGTAATGCTCAAATTTTGGGTTACCATAATCAACGGCTCTCATCTCAACTGGTTTTTTCTCTGCTCCAACACCCCCCACAAGAACTTGTCCAACTTTTTCTCGTTGCCGATGTTTGGACCTTTGCTTCTGGCTCTTAGATTTTGCATAAGATGGCATCTCGCTCGATCCATAGAACTCAGCATACTCCTGTCTTTTTGATGAATGGTGCTTGCTTAACAAAGAGGGATCCTTTGAAGAGCTTGATTTTGTCTTGGCGGGCCTCATTTCTGAATATTTCTCAGCTGTGCTTGCAGTGTGAACTTGCTTATTTTCGGTAAGAGAAGCAAAAGCCTTTTGCTCTACCTCATCTTCGGGCATCTTAAGACGATCTTTTAGTGGTGTGAGGCCTCTCTTGGTGCTATGTGATGGTATGATTTGAAAGAAAGAACCAAATGTTTGGAGGGAGAGACTGGAAAGATACACAAGATGCTGTCTTAAAGATGGCCATCCTGTCTCCTCCTTATTGCTCTCCTGGATAGGTTGAAGTTTCACATGGCTTGCTTGGCCTTTGAATTCACTGTTTGATGGTGGCTGCATTATGCATGCAGTGTAATCAGTTAACCAACAAGGACTTTTTTTTTTAAATGAACAACATTACATGACCATTACAATATGACAAATGCTAAGGCTAAAAAAAGAGTTATTGGCAAAAGGATGAAGGAAATATAAGGGATAGGGGAAATCTTACTAGGATCCCTGCCAAAATGACAATATAGAAAAAATGAAAGAAAAACTACTTTTGAAAATGGACAAGTTTTGGTTATCCAGTTTCAAGTAACAATACTTTGGCAAAATTGTGAGGTTGCAGCAGGCAAAATGTCATATACCTATTAATTCTATTCTATCATAACAAATTTTATTGAGGCAAAATAGGCACAAATAATCATACTGTTTTGGGGAAGAAAGAGGATCCAAATCCTTGCTGAAGCCTGCATGTAGCGTATCCTACTAAAACAGCACCAACAACTGTGAGGATATCTGCAGAAAATCAAAGAATGAAATTTAGTATAAATATTGAATAATTCTGTAATACAGAGCATTTATGGATTACATAAACAGCTCCAGGCTTCAGCCCCATGATAAAATTGATAGGAGGCTCAAAGTTTGTTTTCAAATTTACATAATGTTTATATTCATCACTTTATTGCAAATATTGCAGAAAATCCACATCTGCCAGTGGCAAACACCAGGACAGATTTATAGAACAACTTTTGACATGTTTTAAGACAAACCAACCAAGGGCTACAAAATGAAGTTTAAGTTCATCTTCTGCTTGAAATATTCCATTTGTTTTATGAACCATGCAAGGGAGTTAAGATTAGGGCTGCGCAAATACCTCAATTGCAAAATCTGAATTCTGTTAATCTAAATTCTGTTCGAAATATAAGAAATATCTAAAGATACTATCTTAGAATATCTTAGGGTATCTTCAATGATCTCTCTTTCAACATGATATCGTTGTGATATCATACTCCATGACCTGATTTGTCACCATCCCATTGTTAAGCTCTCTATAACAAAAAGTGGAATTTCAATGTCACCTCTTCCACTATGTTTCTTATTTCCTACATGACTATCACATTTCCATCATGTCCTAATTTCATGTACCAAGGTCATCATCCCTTGCTTTTATGAATTCTCAGTTGTTTAGTTGTTTAGGTTGTATCAGAATGGACAACCTGCAATGATTTGTAACTCTACCCACAACAACAGCAATAACAACAGAATCTTCTACAACCAAATCTATTGTAATCTTCTTAGCAACCTGTCATCCAAACATCATCTATTATAGGATAGACTTCCATGATGAAAACACCTCTTCCTAGTATTCAGGCACAATCTACAATCGAATAATGTTCAACAATTAATGCGGTCCATACCTCATTAACACTCCCAAGATATCAGGCAACAACAACCAACCGGCTTTTTCCCGGGCACACAAACTTCTGCTTTTCCCATGAACACTGACCCGGCTTTATCTCAACTTTTGTTTTCTATTAGTTATTAATTTGTGGGATGTTAACTATTTGCTTGTAACAAGCTAAAGAAATATAAGAAAATATATTTTAGAGTTGAAAATATAAGAAATATCCAAAGATATTATCTCAGGCTATTTTAGAGTATCTTCGATGATCTCTCTTTCAACAACATAGCTTGTCAAGCCATAAAACAACTGACAGGTCTACGTCATGAATGTTCACAAACATATCAAAATACAACTAATAAAGCAAAGCAAATACCGCCCCCCCCCATACACACACACAGTGGTCATCGAAACACTGATGCCATTCAATTTGCATATGGTATTTTTCTCTGTTCTTTCTTCACAGCTGTAATTTTTAAGTATGCATTTATTTTTCTACCTTTTCTTTTCGTTTGCCTATTTGAAATATCCAAAATTCAAAACTAGAAACATTAACATCACATGTTGCAAAGACGGGAAAGGTTTAGTCACCAATGAAGAAAACAGTCATTCAAAACCTTTTGTACAGTTGACCTCTTGTGCTCAAAAGGTCAAAGAAAAGGCAGCTGGCTATTATCATTTTATATCAGCAAAGATGATGAATTGATGATGATATTAATAGCTACATATGAGAAACAAAAGATTAAGAATTTAAACCTGTAATAGAAATTGAACTAGATTGATAATCACAATCCTCCTGGTTGAGAATGATTTGCCGAAGAGCAGCATTTCCTCTATCTATGACCAACAGGGAACAGGTTGGTCGAACATACACCACATCAAAATCATTTGAGAACTTAGCATCCTCACTGGGTCCATCCCTGTAGCCTGCAACATTTGACTTTCCTCCAGCAATGGTTGTCACACCTAAAAAATATTTGTAAAAATTAGTAACAGACGCTTTTTCACAATTCTCATGACAACTAATGCAACACTTCTATATCGATGCTTATTAGTAATTTTATATTCAAACACGGTCCTGATATTGTTATTCTCTATACCACACTAGTCCGGACTCTCCTGAGGTTGTGTATTCTTATAACTTTTGTTTAAGATATACCAGCATCTCCAATCTTTCTGATGGCTAGATTTTGAGTATCAGCAACATAAACATTCCCTTTATCATCCACAGTTATGCCTTTGGGATGATTAAAACGAGAATCACTTGGTTTTCCATCCACGTGACCAGTGTAGCCTTCAAAAGATCCTGCTAGCAATCTTCCTCTACTATCTGCAGCAACATAGGGACAAAATCATATCATTGTAATCACTCAATAACTCCAAAATTCTATTCCATTAACTAGAAAACTCTCATATGCTGATGCCACCATGCTGATATGATAAAGCTCCTTCTGTTACCCTTATT